CTGGCTTCGCCGTGGAGGCTTCTCCTCGGTTTCGCGATGGCGTTCTCGATAACGCGGAATGAGATCTTCAACTTCTGGTGCTCGACGTGATTGCTCGGGCGATAGACGAGAAGCGCGATCACGACTACGATCGTGCGAATGGCGACGACGGCGAGATGAATGAGAATCTGGTCTCGTGAGTGGGCGGTTGCGGCGTGCGTCGGAATCGTGGCGGGAATCGCGAACTTGACGGGGAGACCTTGATCTCTGTGAGGATTTCATTCCTCGCTCATGTCGAGCCCGTTCTCCTTGGTCATTAACTTCTCGCTCGTCTCTCATGGCAGCATGTCGACGTCGAGGTGGAGGTTTGGACGCGGTCTCCATGAGTGCAGCTGGGCGTCGAGTTTTCAGTGGTTACTTAGGGGCCGCACCTTAACCGATGGGAATGACCAGGTAGGTAGGTGCCTTGAGCCTTGACGTCGGTGACCCGCTAATTATCAGTGGCCCTGAGTGATCGCGGGGAATTTAACATGTAGGCTTTTTGGCCCAATGCAGGTCGGGGAATTTTTGGTCATCTGCAAAATCAGTGCGATTGACGCAAGGCCAAAGAGAAGAGAAAGAAAAATAAAGGGGGAAAAGGGAAGAATGAAGCCAATGATTAGGGTAATGTAAGTTTTGCGTGAGAGTTGCCTTGTCAGGATTTGTTGATAGACCGGGCTCGCCCCGAGTAAAACTGTGTCCTAAGCACCAGACGTTGGTAATAGGCGCAGAAATGATCGAAATGGGCAGATGTTTCAAGCTCTTGACGAGATTGATGAATTTCCCAGGTTCATGCACTTGCACTCTCTTCCAGCTCTCTAGGCGTCATTCTTTCGCCCATGCACTGGCTATTGTGCGGCTTCCGTCCAGAGATCTTTGGAAATGTCAAGCGCCTTGGTGTTGGCTGTTGATGGTTGGACCGCTTGGGTTAACCCCCAATGGTTCCACCAGGTGAGAGACAGCATGATCTCATCGTATCGCTGCTCTCAAAAGAGCAAAAGAACTATATACGAATCCATGTGGATAATTTACGAAAGTCCAAATCACGACTGTGACTTCCTCTTAACACGTCAATGCTCGTCCAACCAAGCCATCCGGTACTTCGAGCACGAAGACACACTATGGCGACGCAAAATCCACCCGCTGCGTCTGAAGTAGTGATTCATGCTCTTGAACAAGAAACAAGAGCCAGTAAGCCTGCCAAGTTCCGATAACAGAGTCATGCTGCCATAAATTATCGACCCTTATCAGACGACTCAATTCGGAGGTTATCCAAGACCATATGAACACCTTTTTGCTGTCGTCATGGTAAATCAAAGTTGAATCATGCGACGAATTACCCCTTCAGCCAGTTAAGTGATGCCCGAATCAGTGCGTAACATTGGTTGGTTGTATGGACTGCAAGGCACAGTTTTCCTATGCCTGCGGCAAGGAGGGACCAATGTTAATGAGGACCGAGTGTTAAAAGGCTTCAGCGTACGAAGCAGATCGCAGCAACCGAAGCAAAACCACGCAGGAGAACGAGAAACTGGTGCAAGATGGGTAGGCTGTGATAATTTTAGCCTGCATCTTAGCAGACCAAACTGAAGTAGGAGCGGGTTGTCCAGGGCTTCGGTTTCATGAATGAAGTTCCAGTGCACGTGGAGATTTTCGAATGCGTCTGAGGAAGTTGCATATAGCTACTGGTTCATCAAAGCAAGGCGTATGGAATGGTGACGAGGTTGAAGGGTGTGCTTATGGTGGTTCGGATTGTCGGAAGGGATGGGAGCACTATATAGTGCGCTCGGTCGATAGACGATTCATTTCATTTCGTGGTAAGCCTGGTCGAATGGAAATTGCAGGCCATTTAGATACCACCAAACAGGTGTCGTCTATTATCACAGTATCAGAACAGCAGCCAGTTGGTCATCTTCTGGAGATTGTGACTGGGTGTCGGTTGATGGTTGAATCCTTGTTGTGGGAATTCCAGAGCGCCGGGAAGAGCAAGCGTCTTGGTCACGTGAACGAACATACAGACGCACGTGGCCTTCCCTTGGTATCACAACCTGGAAAGAAGCTGAACCACCAACCGAATGGTGGATGGGCCAATATGGAGAATATTTCTTAGAGGCCATTGCCATTGTATTTAGATGCTCTGAACAAATGATATATCTAAATGAATGGAGACTCGTGACAGGACCATATACCTTAGGTACATACATACGGAGTAGAGAAGGATGAAATAAGTAGGAAGAGTGAGCTTTGTTTCTGTCAATGTGATCCCGTTTCCAGCCTCAATGTTTGCATTGATTAGTTCATCGTACATATCAACAACATACATTCATACAGATGACCACTGTCAGTTGTACCCTCAGCTGCCTTGATAGGTTTGTTGCTCAGGTACCTACCTTACCTACAGTATGAAATCCCGTCGCCTAAAATCGTGCCTCGGTTCTTGACCATTGTGACCCACTTGCCTAGCGCCAGGTAAGAAGTTAAAATGCAAGTCTTAGATGGACTACGGAGTAGACCAACGCTACATAAAATCTGTCTAGGTACAAGTCTTCAACAAAGACCCTTCTGTAGGGTCATCTAGAAGTAATGCGAGAATATTGTGATTTTCATGAGTGAAATAGTAAATGCACTTATAGCACGCAATATTTAGATACTTTAACCGTTTGCCTGGGAGAAGTTTTAGTTGATAACCAAGATCTTCCAGTAAGTATGAAGTATAAACAAAGCATACTACTAATAATAATAAAAATCATAGCAGGTACAGATCTATCCATGCCCAGTGATGGTTGTTTCGGCCACCGGAACGGGTGTATCCACCGTAGGATCAACTAGAACCAGGCATGGAAGCCGTTCCGTTTTGTCGTCGGAGGATGGAGGGGCAATTTGCTGGTTGATAAAATGCCAAAATTTTATTAATACGTCCCTACCCTCACCCCCTTTCAGTTGTATCCGTCCTCGCTTGTGGTCGAAACTTCTCTCCTCTTCACTCGGATCTGAAAGTGGTTCGCCTACATCGGTCACGGCTTGTACGGATCTCATCATGGAGTGGCTTGGACATGCAGAACTCAACTTCACTCATGCGCCTTCACCTCGAAAGGTGCAAGAGAAAGATGGCAATGTCACCGATCTCTTATCCATCTGCGAAAAGGCAACACCGCCATGCCGGCTGAACCCACTGCTCTTCAATGGCCACCTGCAGACGATGTGGACAGCGACCAAACCTGCTGGACCAAAGATTTACTATAAGCGCAAGATTTTTGATGCTGACCACAAGATCTACCATGGAACATTCGCCGTGGACTTTGCTGTTGAGCCTTTTGAGGCCCCTGATGACCCTTCATTGTCTCGACGAACAGCTTACTTCACTCCGGAAGAGTTTGAGCATATCGGGTCAGACGACTGCAAGCCCATGCTTGTTGTCCTGCATGGTCTTTCAGGCGGTTCTCACGAGATCTACCTTCGACACACTATTGCGCCATTGATCGGCGAGGGTGGCTGGGAAGTTTGCGTCGTTAACTCGCGAGGTTGTGCGCGCAGCAAGATCACCAGTGGTGTCTTGTACAACGCTCGAGCGACATGGGATATTCGTCAGGTAAAGGATACTCGTGCTCCAAGGAAAACATCCCACTAACATTCATCCAAGACAATAAAGTGGTTACGGAAAACTTTCCCCAACCGACCATTGTTCGGTCTAGGGTTCTCTCTAGGAGCGAACATGCTCACCAACTATATAAGTATTACTTCCCCGAATTTTGGCTCAGTCTAACACAAACTACTGTGGCGAGGAGGGGCCCAACTGTGTCCTCAAGGGAGCAGTTGTATGCAGCAACCCATTCAATCTAGAAGTTTCTAGCAAGATCCTACAGAACAGCTACATCGGCAAAGAAGTTTATCTTCGAGTCATGGGCAGTGAGTCGACATATTCATACCTAGGTAGTTAATTAAAGCAATTGCTGATGTTATCAAGGTGCTCTAAAAGAACTCGCTGCCACACATAGAACCGAGTTGGAAAAGTACAGCAAAATCGATGTCAAGGCCGTGATGAACATCACGTACCTCTATGAGTTTGATCGCCTCATCCAGTAAGTCGCTTCCCTCTATTCCGACTAAAAATTGACTTTGCCAGGTGTCCTTCTTGGGGGTATCCGACGGAGAGTGCATACTACCGCGATGCTTCATCGGTGGATTCCATACTTTCCATTGAGATTCCTTTCCTGGCTGTCCACTCAACTGATGACCCGGTAAGGATTCCGGTTTCCTGCTCTATTGTAACTTCTCAGCCATTTCTAACTGTCACAAGATTGCTGTCAAGGAAGCTATTCCCTATGAAGAATTCAAACAGAATCCTAATACTGTCCTTCTCACCTCTAGTCTGGGAGGACATCTGTGCTGGTTTGAAACCTCGGGTGATCGTTGGTTTACAAAACCCGTAAGTTCTTATTAGTGATATTGCTAGACATCAAAATTAATATTTCCAGGTTGCCAACTTCTTGAACCATCTTGCTTTCAAGACTGATCTCAATGATCTCAGGCCCCTCGTTAACCCCAACAACAATGATCATTTAGCCGACGGACATGGCTACATCCCCATGCGACGTAAGCTGGTCATTGTGGAAGACTAAGTAGCAGATTTGATGTAAAGTCAACCCATTCCAAAGAACTATAAGAAGGGGCCTCTCGACGCAATTGACGACCACAGTAGACTAGCACGGTATAGACATCTATAGAAGCGCGTTTAGATATCATAGATCTGACACAGAATATCCAGAGCTAAAAGCTCAAAATAAATCCGGTCATTCCATCTAGTTAATTGAGTAGATCTGCACCCGAGTGAGCAACCACTGTTCGAATACAGTCTTGTGCTCTTGTACCGCTGTATCTCCAGAAACCACCAGAAATCATGGTATGACCCCAGCCTATCTATCAAACTCCATGCGCCAAACAATGCAAAAACTCCGAAAACTTTTGCTATATAGTAGGTCGAAGGCCTAGGCGAACGAAACTCGCTTCTTGGCCTTTGCTTTTGTCCCCTTGCTACCGCTCGTGGTGAACTCCTTGATGTTGTCCTCTTCGTCACCTGTGCTCTTGCGCTTTCTCCTCTTTCGGAGAGAGTCTTTGGTATCCTCAAGTTTCGACTGCTTTTCTTGTTCTTTCTTCTCGGCCTCGACCTTGCGCGCTTCGCGAATTTCTTCCATCTGACGCTGTTTGATCATCTTGGACTCAATCTGGCCATCCTTCTCCGCTTGGACAAGCGCCATGATGGTACTCATACTTTCCTAGAGGGATAGTAAGTTAGAATTGCGCAAGCACGTTCGGGACCACAACTTCTTACCTGATCATCAGCAAAAACCTTGCCTTTCTTCTTCCCACGAGGTTTGATGACGCCAACAGGCGTGACAGTGTTGAGTTCGGGAATACCCAGCTGTTGGTCCGTATACTTCTTCTTCTTGGGGTTCTTGAACTTTTGCAGAAGTGCCTCACGACCCTTGTCTTTGACCTGCTGGCTCAGCGTGGGGCCCTTTGACTTCTTGGACTTAGCAATGCCATCGGTGGCGGAGCGCTTGGAGGTTTTGGCAGCACCAGGAGCAGCGGCGTGCTTGTTCTTGATGGTCTTTGTTCGTGTAACACCCATTGCGACAGTGGTGGAGGTGTGCGCTTGAGGTGTATCCGCGGTATCTCAAGATTTGAGTGTTGTTGACCTACTATGTAAATCTTAGAATATTTTTTCCTGGAGCAATGTGATAAGAGGTCACGATAAGAAACTTTATGGGCTGTGAAGTGGGGCCGAGTGGGTGAGCCTAGAAGGGGTGATTGATCTTGTCTCAGCTTCGGTGAAACTCGAACCTGGAACTCATACAGTAGGAAGCTGTGAGATGAGCTGTAGTCTGCGACTGCTTGTTACCTGCCTTGCTCTACACACTAATAGGGGAAAGTCAAGTGATAGGAGATCTGAAAATACCTTACCCAATATGAATGTCGGATAAAAGCGTCCATGTGACTGCTAGGTGCTTATGTCACTTATACATTACAAGATTTCTATATTACTCGATGAATACAAGTGTAATACCTGTCGCAAAAATGTACTTACAGGTTCTTGATGCCTGGCCTGCCAGTGCTCTAGTCTTCTAACCAGGATAAGCGAATCAAGACTCATACGAGATTCATGAAGCCACCAACCTACAAGTCATGATCATCCCCCCAGTCGTAGGTGAGAGTTTCGCATATATCAAACCCTGGTTTCTTTAGTTTATCTCACATATTCAGAGCCAAATGTCACTGCCAGCTCCAAGGGAACATGTCAATTTACCAAGATCTTTTAAAAACACTAATCAACCTCATAGTACTATTATGTCGAGAAAGAAACGGCTTTGGCCTTTCTCAACAGATATCATAATTGAGACACGGAGTTCGGTTCATCAGTGCTAGTCATGAGGAAACGATTGATGGGTGTCGTGGATGAAACTGAAAGACATATCGCCAGTGTGTTACTCACTTGTGCATATTGTTTACGAAATTCTGACCCGGCTTGCGGGAAAGGTAATTTCACTATTCCACAATTCTTTATCACCTCGACCAGTACTTATGAGCCTCAACTTCTCAGGCTTGAAATTCATATCCAATCCCACTACTCGGTCATTGTCGTCATTTTTTGGGGTGACCTCTAAGGTATCTAAATCGCCACGGTATCCGATATACCACTCTGTAGAATTGGTCATGATTTCATATGTGGATGGGGCCTGGGGGCTGGGAATGGGCGTTTAGCATAGGTAGGTAAGTACTAAGGTAAGTACTAAGGTAGGTAGGTAAGGTAGTCAGGCAGGTTGGACAGGCTTTTCGGAGCCTGACTGGAGTGTTTTCCAGTGAGCTGGGTGCTAGCTTCCAGGGCTTGCGGTCTGACAGGGGCCATCGTGAGTAAATTTTAAGTACATGACCATATGAGGAAGCCGCGAGGCTACATAAAAAGTACACAGGCCTGTCAGTGCTGCTCGGATTTTTTTAGTACCAAGGTAACTTAGGTTAGTATCTTCGTAGGTGGGCTGTCAGAAATTCTTCCATACGTCTAACATACTATCTTTCCCACTTGCAACTCTTCCAAATCAAAATTCCCAAACATCCAACAACTTCACCTTTGACGTTCCAATTTCTTCAGCTCTTTTCTGTATTACGTACTACGATACTGCGAAATCCCACAACGTCACGAATTCGTCTATAACCGTATCATCCTACAATATCTTTCGATCTTAAAATAGTCTCGCCGTGAACCTACTGATCGCCCCCTCAACCTTGAGACAGTGTAACTCCCAACGGCCACCATCACGAACATCGACTACTATTTCTACTAAATCGACACCGACACTACCAGCTGCAGTCTATAAGCGTATCGACGTCGCACACGCTTTCTCCGGTCCTCTCCCTGGTCTATCCAAGGCGTCCTTACCAGGTCTTCCCCGCCCTCTATTGATTTGTCGACAGACCTGTCCCATTCGGTCTTGATGGATACTAGCAACCTCTGGTCCCGCCGCACAAAGTAAGTTGCACTTTCACCTACAATATGAAGTTCTCACCAACGCCTTCTTAGCACCGGCAAGCTCTCCCTCGCAACACCCGGACAAGGGTCCAGTGGTGACTCCTTCAATCGCAATGCCTCATTCCCCAAGCGCCAAGGTGGCGATACTCCTTCGTCGACTAAACCGAACCCTTTTAATACCACACCTGGAGGTCTAGTGTCACCCACGAGCGGTGCCTCCAGTGCCTTTGGCCTAGGATCTGGAGCGTTTGCTTCGTTTGGGTCGGCCAAAACCCCGAAGACTTTAGCCAATCCTTTCGATACTGCCATGGCATCAGCGGTAGTCAAGTCCGGCACGAAGGACCCATCTAAGAGTGCGGGTAAAGGATCCGGCATGACCGCGATTTCTGAGAACAACCAGTCTGGGGCATCCACGGCAAATCCTTCGCATGCGTTAGTTGATTCATGGACATTTTGGTATCGACCACCGATCTCGAAGGCACACGGCTTCATCGAATATGAGAAGACGCTACACGAGATCGCAACTGTACGGACCGGGGAAGAGTTCTGGGAGATCTATCGTCACCTGAAACGTCCCTCCACACTCCCCGTTGTCTCTGATTTTCACCTTTTCAAGAAAGGCATTCGCCCAATATGGGAGGATGATGTTAACAAGAAGGGAGGAAAGTGGGTGGTTCGGATGAAGAAGGGTGTAGCAGACAGGTACTGGGAAGATCTCATTCTCAGCCTCATTGGTGATCAGTTTGCCGATGCTAGCGATGATGTTTGTGGTGCTGTGTTGAGTGTTCGCAATGGTGAGGACATTCTCAGCATCTGGACTCGCACTGATGGTGGTCGAGTCATTAAGATTCGGTAAGTTTCAACGGCCTGTAATCGACTTCCTCTGATTTTAGCTAAATGGTGAACAGTGAGACGATGAAGCATGTCCTTAACTTTCCAGCAAGTACTCGCATCGAATTCAAGAGCCACGATTCTAGCATTCAACAACGAACAGCCATTGAGGAGCAGCGCCGCGAAAAGGCTGGCCAACATCACCACCACGACAAGCGCCACACGGGCGGACCCTCGAAGCAGGCCGCTGAACAGTCCCTCTCTTAGGAGAATGAAGCGCGCTCTTGAAAACCCATCTCGGTATAGTCTTTGTATTGTATATCATGAGTGTCTTCAAACGTCAGCGTTGAGGGGCATATTCCTTTTGCTCGTTCCTTTGTTTCCACAATCACCTTTGGGCGGAGTTGGAGAATTCTTCTGGATGGGGCTGTGATACCGTGTTTATGAGGCTTAGGGTAGGTGGACTGGACAACTACTTAGATATGAGACATCGGCTGCGCACGACGGGCGAGGTTACGGTGATGACCTTGTTTATGAACGATGTATTACTAGCTGCGTATGATTGAGTACGGTTTACCATAGTGTATTTCAGCGAGAGCTACAGTTCAAAGAGCGAGCTTATGGGGCTGATATTTCTCTCCCAGGAACGAGTAAATCGGATCGTCAAGTTGTGGTATTAAAATCTACTGTGTATGTACGGATAGAGGCTCACTATTGGCGGTATTTACCGTCATGGGGCCTTGCCTTTGCCCTTCGAATCTCTCCTCCGTTCCCAGATCTGGAGATATGCTTCACCAAGATATAACAGCTCGCTCTGTACTTTATCAACGTATAAGTCTTGACAGACCACCCATTCACCCGTTGCCTTATTTTTCAGCTGAACCTTCCAAGTCTTACGTTCCTCACCGCTGTCAACAACGTCCTCTCGAACTCGAACAGCTTCGTGAATGACATTGGCCACCAGATCATACCAGATGGGCTCACTTGGGGGCCACTCCTTAGGGTTTGGCTCAACGTATGGTGACATGTCGAGATTACGGGCGTCAAAAGTGACGATGGTTGGGTTGCGCTCAGAAACAAACTTGTTCTGGGAGAAGCGCTTGACGTGAAAGGCAAGAAAGGGGGGAAGAGGGTGCATGAGTCGGTAACGCTTGCGTTGAGTGTGGTGTTCTTGAGCCCTCTGACCATCATATTTTGTGAGAATGGTTGTCAGGGGAACTTGAGGGATGATGTTCTTTTCGAGCTCGTCCTGAAAGAGTGGTGCTGATGGGAGGTCCAGCGTCAGAAGGAGGAAGCGCACAATGTCCACTTTGACATCCGCATCTTCGAAGCGCAGTCGATCAGTAGCGTCGGCACGAGCTGTGATGGCCTGAGACTCAACCTTCATCTTACCCTGAAACGTACGCTGGATCATGGAACTGCCAGGTTTTGTCTTGCTGCCACCAAGCCCAAGGTGGAGGTTGTTCAAGAACCAGGATAGAAAATCGACAGGATCCGACTGAGTTGTGAGGGTAAAGCGCTTGTTTGAGCGCAATGATATCTCCTGGAGAAGTTCATGAGGAGAGACGTGAGCCTTGAACGCCCTCGGATTCCAGATCTTGCGGACTAGAATGCTGCATCGCTTGACAAGCTCCGTCTTGTTCGAAAAGTCCTCGAGAAGCAGGTAGTTGCGCAATGGCGCGACATGCGCAAGAGCCTGGACTATGACGTTGAGATAGTCATTCTCCTTGATGTTGTTCATTCCCACAAATCCAGGGATGTACAATTTTCTATCAAGGGTGTGGCTGGTACGTGGTGTGCGGTCCATCTCGATAACCTCCTTCTTACTATATCGCGGATCCGACACGTACTTGATGTCGTCGAGCGCGCGGCTCTTGACCTCGTATCCTTCAGGAAGGACATAGACACGCTGCGTTTCTAGATTTATATAGACGTGGTGATCCTCGTCAAGCGAGTGAAAGTACGCGTGGGATTTCGGACCACGACCTTGGAAATACTTTCCACACACAAGGCATGCGTAAACGTTTATGTTTGAAAGGGAAACGGAGCACAACTTCTCGAAGTCGAAGTCGAGCACGTTGCGATCGATAGTATCGAGGTAAAGGTCATCATACCCGTCAGTAGGCGCTGACTGTCTTATAGGTGCTGCGGCAGTGGGGTCTTGGTCGTCGTCTTCGTTTGCGTCGTCTTCTTGCGCATTCCCTCTGGTATTAGACTCATCGATAAGTTCGTTCGAAGCACCGTTCGGTTCAGGTGAATCAATGTCGTCCAATCGAGATCTCTTGGAAGCTGGCGAGGCTACACCAACAAGATCGTCGAGGGCCTCGGAGGCATGGCGCTTTGCCATTGTTTATCTCAGACAGCCTAGTGGATATAGCTCGCTTCTGTGTGGGTTTACAATGTAATAATTGTTCGCGACCGTGGCCGTGGTTGCGTTCGCGTGATCGTAATTAGGACTTGATGCCAGGGAAGAAAGATTCAAGATGCAAGCATGATTGTGGTTATTGGGTGGAGCCTTGAAGCTCAGGTCCAGGCCCACTCCACCTAAGTATCCCTGGTACAATAAGACATTCATCTACTGCGTAGGTAGGTACCTATAGGTAAGTACCTTAAAATCTGTCATAGACTCGGTACCTACCTATAGTACCTAAGGTATGCTCCGTATGTTGTTTTATTGCCAGCCACAGCCACAGGATAGGTAGGTAAGTACCTAGGAAAACAACATTTTGTCTATAACCTTTGTACTCCGGAATATGCCAGAACGACCATGCCTTAGTACTAATTACCTACTATAGCCAAATGAACAAATATCAAGGAAAGAAAGCAGATCTTGGTTTTGATCTATCCTGCCATGACAACATCGTTACCCGCATCCTTAATTAGGCCATCCCCATCTTCAAGCAATGGCGCAAGGTCGTCCATCTCCTGCAGGGTATATTCCACCAGATAACTCTCATCAACCAATTCCTCGGTACGTTTGTAGTGCCTCTCAGTGTAAACACGAATGGCGTGCAACACGTCCTTCAGGCTCCTCTGTCCCTTAGCCCCCTTAACAGACAAATTCGAGAACTTGGAGGCAGGATAGCTGCGAATCAGAGTCCACAAGATTCTCTGTGCCACAGGAGCTGTGCGCGCGTTGGTATTCCAATCTCGCAGCCTCAGAAGCAGCATGAAGATCTGTTCATCGGATAAGCTACCCAGCACCTCGTCCACAGCACTTAGGCCACTCAAGCTACCCTTATCTGGGTTGTTGGTTGTAATAACTGATGTGAATAAGTTGAGAAGCCTCCCAGGGTGATTAAGTTGCAATGCAAGAATGATGGCCTCGCGGAAAGAGCCGGCGTGTATGTGGTTCTCAAGCTCCTGTTCCTGCTCAATCAGTTGGAGAGCAGCCTGGGATGCTGCAGCTTGAGTCTCTGACGATGTGTCCTTCCAGAAAGTGACAGTTGAGTCACCACTTCCGGACACAATAGTGTTATCCTCGGGGTGAACAGCCACAGCCCAAACACGATCCTCATGATTGTCAAGTGTGCAGTCAGCTTCGCCTGAATTGGCATCCCAAACCTTGACAAGACCATCACCGCCGGCGCTTGTGAACTGGACTCGCTTCTTGGACTGTTCTTGACTAGCGGGCATGTTCAACCATGCAACTTTCAAGACACTGTTAGAATGGCCCTCGAAAGTCCTTATACAAGTATAGCTGGCAAGATTCCATAGCTTGATGGTCTTGTCACCACTGCCAGTGAGGACAGCGCCCTTTCCAGTAACAGGCCCATCCTCGCCTTGAATCGCCGGCATATTGGCAGGAGAGAACTGAACTGTCCAGACACCACGCCTGTGACCACGCAAGATGCCCTGAACTTCACCCTCCTCCACTGACCAAATTTTGACAGTTTTGTCCTGAGATGCGGAGGCAAAAAGTTGACCCGAGTGGTGAACATTAATGGAGTTGATGTCTTTTTCGTGAGCTTTGCGAGTGAAAATGGCCCGAGAACCACCCTTTTGGCCTTTCTGCTGAGCCGTGCGAGGAATATCCCATTTCTTGACGGTCTGGTCTTGAGACCCTGTGATGAGGAATGAAGGAGGATGGTTAAGGGGGTCTGACCGAGCTGGAGAGGACTCTGGAGGTACTCCCTTGGGCAACGCAACAGCACCCAATGATTCAGCATGACCGGAGAAAACAGCCCAGCAGATATAGGAGTTGTTTGTTGGATCGATACGCCAGAGACGGGCGGTGTTGTCTTTCGCTCCAGTAGCAATCCAGTGGCCTGACCAGTCGATATCCAGTGAGATGACAATTTCATCGTGACCCTTCAGCAGAGCAACATCTTGACCAAAGTAGGGGTTTGAATTCGAATCCCAGTCGGCGTCCCCTTTTTGAGCCTCGATGACTGAGACGATCCTGATATCCTCCGAGTTTGTGGCCAAAGCAACCATCGAGCGGTCCGGAAGCAAATATCCGAGATCGATTATGTCGTCATGTGTGCCTGATATCCTTCGGAAGGGTTCTGGGGCAGGGAGGGAGGTAGTCTCTGCCTTTCGGGGAGGTCTATATAGTGCAAGAGTATGGTCGACCTGGACAAGAAGAATAAAAGGGAGACCAGGGCGGTAAATACCGGACACAATGCCTTCCTCTTCACTTTTCGCAGATTGCTGGGGAGTGATTTCCTTACCCATATCTGTATCCCAGATGCGGAGAGAGCCATTGGCGCCAGCGGAGTAAGTCAAGCTTCCATTTTCGATAAAGCCAGCCGCTTCGACCAGTTCGAGGCAAGGAACAACTTTGCGAATCTTCCAGGATCTGGCGTCCCACCAAGTTATGGTCTTGTCTCTGCCTGCGGTAACAAGAGCGTTTTGTTCTGGGGAGTAGTCAAGGCCTTGGACGTCCGAGACGTGCGATTCCAGATTGGCTACACAACTACGCTTGTGCAGGTCCCATACACGGACCTTTCCATCTTGTTGGCCGCATGACAGCCGGAAATTGATAGTGCTTGAGTCCCCGTCTTCTTCATCGGGCTCTTCTTGGCGCTTGGTTTTCATACCCTTCCCTGAATGACTGTCGCTCGGCCGAGCGGCAGCTTCGAAGAACAAGAGAGCTGATACCAAAACAGAAGACCCACGGAAAGTGTGTGTAACAAAGCCACCGATGATATCCCAAACTTTGACAACTCCATCGGTTCCTCCAGTGGCCAACAGCGTGCTGGTCCGATCTACTGCCAGAACGACGACTGGGGTAGTGTGCGCCTTCACTGTCCTTGTTAGTGTAGCGTCAATAGTTCCATCTTCTTGCGACACTCTCAAGGTGTATATTCTCATTGACAAAGAGCGGGAGCATATGATAAGGTGAGATCCAGAGGGCGTTACTATCATCAGTATTAGTTGCTTGCACGTTTGAGCGATCTTTGGAGACTAACAAGTTAATGTAGAAATGAGCTCTCCATCCTGAGAAAGTCAGTCACGGTCTAATGTGATTTGCACGTGGTCCTTACACCCTCAATTTGAGCCAAATGCTTCCCGTTTGTAGGATCTGTGAGAACTGCATCCTCGCCGAGAACAGTGGCTAGAATACGTGCGCTGTTGTCAATAGCCACTGACCCCCCTGTGAATATGGGGCGTATGACATGGTTTACGTCAAACGTGGTCTTCAACGGCTGCTTATTTGCCATTGTATTGTTGTGATTCTGAGTTGACAAATATTCAATGTAAAGAACATCATGGTCCGCGCGCATGAGGTTTCCTGTAATTTTTTTTTTGGCGACTTATCAGAGACATACATTTGATTGGCTATCGGGTGCATTAGCTCATTCACACCAGCCACATGAAGCGCCACATTTTCGTTCATCGGGTTAGCCGTCATGACTTCCCTTGAACGACCGCCGTAATCCATTGCAGACAAGGTATATTCATTCAGCAGATCGTTGATACGCAGGGAGAACTCACGTACAGAGCTTATAGGGCGACGGCGACTTCAGCCATACCATAAACTGTACATGAAGCAACTCATGTCCGCCTTGTGTTGATGAGTGCTTACCTACCTTCATCATGGGAATGCAGGGCCCCTTAACTGCCCAAGCGCTTGTAAGACTTTCTTTAGCCCCAGCCCTTGAATCTTGCTATCGAATTACTGACGCTGTCAGGGCCGGTCTCCTTATGACGATGTTGTTGAATGGGATGATGATCATGACGAGCTACCAAATGACTCTGGCCAACAATATGACCATCGAGGCCGTCCCATCAACACTGAAACGAAAAGAGTCAACAGAGACATCATTCGTTCCCATAATGAAGTTATGCTAGTTATTGGCGTCGCTGAGCAAGAGAGTTCAACTACAAATCCAGAGGCCGAGTCTGATAAACGTCATGCCATGTATGAGGATGACGTGGGCACAAACCTTGCCTTCTCGGCCCTTCGTTGCGTGGACGCTGCCGGTGCCTTTGGACTAGATGGATTCCGTCAGCGAGTCTTGGTATGTTGTTGAAAACCTTTTCTGTTCTATATGCTAACTAGGTGCCTTACCATGGCAGATTTACAAACGCTATTCTCACATCCCGTTTTGGGATTTGTATGCACAGTCCCGAAGTACCTTTTCTATCTCCCAAGATCTTCTGCCTGGTGCTTCCGTAAATCTTTTCGGTAATTACATCGACCGACAAATTGCTATATTGTGGCGCGACAGGCCCGACAGGATGTTTGCTCGTCGACTGTAAGCCTCTCCCCAAGCCAGTTATTAACCTTCACAGCTTACAAGCAATAGCGCCCATGAAGTCTGGTCATACGTTCGGGTTCATCTAGAGCTATATATTTCTCTGCAACGGCTTGGCCTGGCCTCAAGCACTAACTGGCTCCCAAGCCTATCCTTCTTCGTCCCATTTACTCAAGATTCGCCAATTCCAGCCCCACCACCAGCAAAGGATCTTTCTTTCCAGTCTCTTTTACAGTGGGTTGGAGGCTTGTGCATATGTTCGACGCCGTTCCTCGTCTGGGTAATGTCCCAGAGACTGATCCGTGACTGGAGACCCCAAATTTGGGCGAGAGTATTTCGGTGGTTACCGAACACTGGTTCTCTCCCTGGCGTGACTAACAGCTGGATGCAAGCCGACAGGTCTGGAGAGCACCGGCGTGCTCGGAGCACAATCGACGATGTGTCGCCAATACGGCCGATCGACGGACAAATGCCCAACGATACAGGTCCAGTAGAAGCTGTTCGGCGGCCAAGTACTTTCTCGGCGCGTGGGGATGACTATGCAACTGACGAAGAAGATAATGAAGGGCTTAGTGCCACCTTGATCAGCTTTGATGTCGAAGCCACTGCTGAAACCAGCGAAGCACCTCCTGGACTCTGGAGCGCCGAATTAAGACCAAGTGTTGAAGCAAGGGGAGCGCTTATGCCTACAAACACCTACTGCGATACGATGCTGACGCAGCTTCCCCCTTTGATTGCCTCACATATCTTTACTGATGCCGTTTTGAGATTGGTGACTGCACCGTGGGAAGCAACTGCTCTGCGGTTGATGGCGCATAGTCTCCGCCAACGGTTTAATCTCCCAACTCATGACGTTTGCGAAATTAATCTTCTCAGTCATCTCGATTTGACATTCGCTATCAACTTTCTCGGCACTCAATTGCTGCATTTAGCTTTGTGCGGAGAGATTTGGGCAGCCTTCACGACAGTGGCCACAGTTTTACACACAACCCCTGACGAGTGGCGGGAAGCCGAAGCCGAGGAGCAGGAGAAAGGACAAGATTGGACAGATGAGACTATTTAACCAAGGCCCGATAACCCCAGGTTTTCATACCACACAGCATATATCAGAATGCGCCTGTCCAATAGGAACGATTTGACCATGAATTCCATATGTTTAGTCAACACTGCGTAGTTTCAACATTGACTTGCTTGCGTTCTTTGATGTTCTCAACCGGGATCTTGACCTATAAGGGGAACAGGCCTGGCATTGGACGGATTGCTTTGTCCCAATCGTTACAGTCAAGCCGTGCAAAACGTGTGTCATGAAAAGATAAGTTAAATAATTGCATGAGAGATTGCGTTGCAGCCTCGAACCGGCTGAGAAACCATGATGCACCATGGGTGTTTCAGAACAACTTCCATGCCAGACTAAAGGTCTAAGTGACTGGCTGAACAACCCATTTTGATGCGCTGCATAGTAGAGATGCACGCAGAGGCTAAGATACCGGGAAATGGGCCTTAAATATGGATGTATTGTTGAGGGAACGTTGCGATCCGATGAGTCGCAAGAAGTCCCATACTATCGTCCAATATGTTTTCGTTACAGCTAGGATATACACAGCAATATAATGCTGAATTCATCATACCTTTAACAGATTATCATCACGTCCAATTCCTCCAATCTGCCCATGTTGTGGAGTTACCGTTATAAGTATTGATTGTAAATTTGTTCAGCACATCGATCCTAAGCGATAAAAGACTTGGGTTTTCTAGAATAAGCTTAGGATAAGTTTAGGATACCTTTGGCTGAGTTATCTTGACACCCTATATTAAAGTCTTATGCTTTCTTGCTTCCCGAGGGACTGGGAGGAACAAAGCGTAGGTAAGTTCCAGAACAGGTCTAGTGAGTGGTCTTCGGAGGGTTATATATATGACTAGAATATTCGATTAAGTTCAAGGACAGATAGTCACAGGAAAGTGATGCAATTTGTATCACTTAGAAATTGGGGTGCTTCTAACTCAATCGTAGTCAATAGTAGACGAGTACCAAAGCTAGCACAATAACATGAGGCAGATGCGGTACAGGTTATCCATACAATACTTGTTAATTTCCTTGTCGTAGATCCCAGTTTAAAACTCATGTCTTACGTAGTTAGCCTTGTACAGTAGCTTGAGCGTCATTTCTTGCCCCTCATGATCATGGATGTTTACCCCCCACCTTGACTCTTTTTGATGATGACATTTCAACTGCTACTTCAATTTCCAAACCAACCTTATTAGCAACCACCCGAATCCTATAAATGAAAAACCAATTCAAGGATATCAATTGTCCTGCAAATTATTGAGCAATGTCTGAGCGCACTGTCCTTATCACCGGCGCTACCGGCCTCCTGGGTCGTGAGGTCGCTACAACGTTCGGCCTCAAGAATTGGAATGTCAAAGGCACAGGCTATTCTCGTGCAGATGGAATCAATACTTTCAAGGTCAATTTAAGCAACGAGACGGAAGTGGGAGAGTTTCTGGATGAGACCAAGTTTGCAGACCCTTCCCTCTATGGATGCTATGCCAGTAGACTGACATTACTACCTACCTTCAGACCACAGGTTATTGTCCATTGTAAGCTACCTGGTATGTTTCATTCGTACAGAGACAGAGACTAATCAATTACACGCGAAAGGTGCTGCTCAACGGTTCCCAGACAAGGTCGACAAAGACCCCGAAGGTGCCCGTGAACTCAACGTCGCTGCGAGCAAGGCACTCGCTAAGCTGGCCGCGGATAGAGACATCTTTGTCATATATATATCAACCGACTACGTGTTCCCTGGCACGCCGGGGGATGCTCCATATGAAGCCAACGCCAAGCCTCAACCGACCAACCTTTATGGCCAAACGAAGCTGGACGGTGAGCGAGCCGTCTTAGACACGCTGAAGCTTGTTGGAAAGGAGGGCCTAGGTGTCGTTCTTCGAGTTCCTGTCCTTTATGGGAACGCTGAAACGCCAGCCGAGAGTGCGGTCAATGTTCTTATGGATGCACTATGGAAGGCACAGACGCAGGGAGCTGAAATTAGCATGGACCACTGGGCAATTCGCTATCCTACGAACACAGAAGACATCGGTAGGGTCTGCCACGGTATATCTCACCCTACTTTTAGCCACCAGGTTTCAAAACCACGGTGTCATTTGGACGAGTCTTGCCAAAACTCTTCGAAGGTAAACAAGTGCGCAACAAGATTTCGCTGACATTAAGCACAGATATTTCTGTCAAGTACCTCGACACTCCAACTGAGGAGCGATCTTGTCTTCCTCAAATTCTCCAGTTTTCCTCTGAGGATCGAATGACGAAGTATGAGATAGTGACACTATTTGCTGAGATAATGGGCCTGTCAACGGAAGGGATTAAGCCCAACACGGAAGGGAATGACCCAAATGCCAGTGTACAGCGACCTTATGACTGCCACTTGAGTACAAAGGCACTGAAAGATCTGGGAATTGATGTTTCAACCTGCGACTTCAAAGGATGGTGGAGACGTGAGGTTCGCGCATTTCGCAAGTAATAGGGAGCACTGCCAGCAGAGATCGCTGCATTCCGGTGTGGGATATGTAGCCTCAAGAGCAAAAGTTTCAGATGAGACCAAGGGTGCCCTTGAGTCGTGCTTGGTGGAAAAAGGGAGGATGTCTTGGATGCAGAACATGACTGAAGACACGACGTATGAAGAAACCAGACCACGAAACTATCACTTCATTATTTCATTCGTTGAACTGAAGAATGATAAAACAAGACTATGGAAAAGTCACGGCTTGGTCATGATTTTGCCAGATCATAGCAAGATATCAACTCAGCACGTTTCTGTTCGTTCGGAACTCTTTCGTGGAACACCTAATTATCTAAGGTAGTTAGTGTTTAAAACATGTTTTGTCCGCCGCAGAAGGTATTTTCGAATTCTGCTGGCAGCAGCAGCAGCCACATAGTGCAAGGGGAGTTGCATATCTCAATAAATTAGCTAGGTACCTAAATAGGCACCTGGTTAAGGTAGAGAGCTGGCTATTACTCGGTCGTGAGCCGCGGTGTCTAAATAGCTTGGCATCTCAAGCATCAAAGTCTACATCCAACGACGGCCTTTTTTTTTTTTTTTTTTTTTTTTTTGTAAATCCGCCCCCATTCTAGGACGTATATATGCGTTCTTGAACACTGGAATGAATGTCTAAAGGGAGCAAGTTGCACCTCGGCCCTTAAAAGCCTGGCCTCATACCAGAGACTCACCTCTTGCACCTGGCCACATACCATTGCTGCGATTGAGCGGGCTTTCATTGAATTACCGAAAATCGAGCTTTGTCTAGGGATGAGTCTGCACTTTCTCGTCAAGTCATGTGGTGCTTGCTTCTGTTATTATGGATGCTGACTCCCGCCCCCTTCGGCGCCCTCGCCTTGCATTCTCGTCGACTGCTTGTTCAAACTGCAAAAATTGTGGCCGCTGGTTGCTCTCCTCGCAGCATCTCCTTTGAAAAAACTTGCACGATCAGCTTAACCCAAGCTCTTATCCAACATTAGCAGTCAGCATTGTTCACCTGGTGTGAACGCATTTTGAGTTTCGGTCTCGTATTATCTGGATACGAAAGCAATCGTTTGCTGATCATCGAATCGAAAATTCACGTTCTCATGGATGCTGTTAAAAGCCATCGGCTGTTATTGTCGGTCGTTTCCTATCATTTATCAACTTCCGTGGAGTAGACGTGCCTGATACGAAAACACCTGCCTACCTGCTACCTAAAATCAACCCTGTCGGCGATCTTAAGCGACGACCTGCCCAATCTTGCAACAACGGCTCGATCCGAAAACCTTATTGGGCGCTTCAGGTCCTCAAAGGGTCCGATAGGGCTGCATCAGTGCTATTCAAGGGTCCATTCACCACTGCAGGACCAAATTCGTTAGCGGCAGCACCATTAGTATGTCGTCGTCAGTGGCGGTCGCGGCTGCCCCATTGCAATTTCATGACTACTTGCAGTTCCCAATCAATGATACAAAACCACCAATACCGGACTTCTCGAAATTTAGAAATTTACGCGGGAAAAGTGTGTGTGCTGAATCTCGAAAAACATTTGAGGTTTATGCCGACCCGCCATCAGAAGGAGCCCATCTTGCCGAGGGGGATTGTTATCCACGGCTTGACTCTGACTCACCAACATTAGTCGCGCGAACCGTTCGACGCCGGTCCAGGAGTGTAACTTCGTTATTAACTTTATCGCGCGAACGAAAACTTGTTGAGCCGGTGGTGGTCCCAGCGCTGCCGTCCCCTTCAGTCTCGGTTTCAGTTGGCAATCGCGGAGTCGAATTCTTGAAAGGTCTCGCGGGGAGCGTTACAGGGGTCATTGGCAGCCTCTCTCCACGAATTGCGCCTGCCAGCGCTGCTAATGGCAATGGGCCCAATAGGCACCGTCAGGATTCGCTGTGCTCTGTGCCTTCGATCATTCGCTCCCCGGTTCCGTCAGTACTGGTGTCGCCGTGTGCACAAAGCTTCGTTGGCGCATCAGGCAATTTAAACTTAGCTCCAGCAGAGTCTCAGACCGCGCCGTCGCCCGCTGTCCCACCTGGCCCCAGTAGCCCCCTGGCAAGTCCGTTATATGTTCTAACGCCTAAAACTACGAATATCCCACCATTCCTTTCGAACTTAGCTCCGAAACCTCTACCTCTACGATCACCAAATTTGAGCCAAGAGTTCTCACGCAGCACTGCACGTCTTACTGGCCGTGACCGCAGTCGAAGTCGAAGTCGAAGTCGAAGTCGCAGCCGAAGTCGTCCTCGGGGCCCAGACTTGTTCAAACCCCTTCCACCGACATATGCTTTTGATCTGCCAGCTCCAGAATCACCTATACTTCGTACCGTGCCGTCTGCGAGCGATATTGCCAGATTTAAACGTCGCAATCTACATGCCTTGCGTATCAATACTGAAACTGCCGAGCGCGCTGCAAAAATCGAACGAGAAGACCTTGAGCGCGAGGAAGACGAGGCTGAACGCCTAGCCGCCCGTCTTGAGGCTGAGACTGATCGCATCCTCGCCGAGCAGAAGAAACGCGACCTAGCCCGCCGCCGAGCGCAACTGCCGACTCCATCCCCCAAATTTCCACGATTTCTTGTTCTTGACAAGTTTTCATTTCTCTATCGCACTCGGCGATCGAATGCTTTGACAAGCCAAGCCGGCACGCCAAGCCCAGGGGCACCAACAGTCTTTTCTCTTGATCTCAGCCGGCCTACCAGTCCTGAGGAATCTTCATCACCAGGAAAAATGAGTTTCATAGAACAGGGTGGTAAAGGTATCGTGCCAGGTACTGACGCCCCAACTTCGGCCAGCAATGGAGGTGAGAGAGTAAGTTGTATCCCTAATCCTTGGGTGTGCTCATTCAGATTCTAACATGGGTTTTCTCTGTAGCGCGTGTGCGTACGATGCCTATCATCAGTCATCAATCTTCCCGTCAACACTGATACCTCTCCTGTTGATATCCTCTACTCGACCGCCAACCTGACCAGCCATGATATCGACCCCAAGGCAAGCGTGTTGATCGAATGCTACGTTGAACTTGGTCTCGAACGGCGCCTTCGCCGTTATGAACGAATTCGTGACGTTATGAATTCTTGGGATCGTGACCAGCAGAACTCCCTTCTTGTTGTCACCAATGATATATCACAATCCGATGACCCTGATCTCGATATGAAGTCTGTCCCACGAACCCCAACCCCTCCCCCAGGCTTCACGCTGCAAATGTACCACTCTTCCAGGCCAGGTAAATGGAACAAGCGATGGATTACCTTGCTGGAATCTGGTCAGATGTTTGCTTCCAAGAAGCCTGATTCAAAGGCTTCGGATAAAGACAGTACTGTCCTGTGTCATTTATCAGATTTTGACATTTATACACCAAGAGAGAGTGAGGCCAGACGTCATTTAAAGGCCCCCCGTCGCTTTTGCTATGCTGTTAAGAGCCAACAGAAGACATTTGTTTTTCCAAACGGCGAGAATTTTGTTCATTTCTTCTGCGCTGAAGACGGAAAGCTTGCCAGGCGTTTTCTTGAACTTGTGCAACGTTGGCGAAGCTGGTATCTTGTCAATAAGCAGGTTGACTTTGAGAAAAAGGACAAGCCCCCGCAACTTGCCATGCACTTAGAAAACGACACGGTTCCCAAAGCCATTTCCAGACCGAAGAGTTCTGCCACACATAAAGGGCATAGTACGCAGGTTTCTGTTGACGAGACGCCATACACCATTGGCGCTTTCCAGCCACTTCTTGATATGGACCGCTTTGATAAACCCCTGGAGGAGTTCGGCAAAGATCTAGAACAGGACAAAACAAAACATGGGGATCATGATACTGTGTTTAAAAGTGGACTCGTCCGGAAGGCGACCTGCAAACAGCCAAACGTATTAACATCGTCCAAATCAATACATCAAAAGCATAGGTCACCGCCAACGCCTCGAGACGAGTCGCAATTCTCCTCTACGGGGCTTTTGGGTCAAGTATACGAAGAGAAACGCAAAATAGCTGAACGGGCGCCTGTCGTCAGCCTCCCCCCCACCAACGCGGCTTTCACAAAAGGAGCCTCGCTCCTGGGCCAAGGGTATGAGCAAAAGCGCAAGATCTCTGAGCGAGCGCCAGTCAACAAAAGTGTTCCTTCAACAAATGCCGCTTTCACAGAGGGTCCTTCACTTCTCAACGGTGGTGTTGTCTCGCCAACGTCTCCTAATGAGAACATGGCAGATTCAAAATCATGGTTTCCTTTGGGAACAGATCAGTCTTCTCAGCCACGCTACCGTAGTCGATCTGTCCGAGATCCCAATAGGCGTCCTACCACTTCTGATAAGGTCCCAGATATGCCACAGCCGCTAGTAAATCTTACCAACAGCTTCCCTGAGCCGCCTCGCTGGCGCGAGAACAAGGGCCATGGTGTAAAGGCCCCAGCCGGTGGTCCCTTAATCAGTCTCGCTACTGGGGGATCGACGAACAATTCATTCAACACTCGGAGTGCCTCTGGTCTTGTTGGGCAGTCTCGACCTCTGCCCTCTTCTTCGTCCATGACGGTTGTTAGCCGTCCTCGGAGCCGGTCTATCGCAGGAACCCAACAATCGCCTAGCCATGCTCCTCCTGTTCCTCCTTTGCCAATCCGATCGTTACGTCGAGAAAACACTGCGCCGCTCGAACAGTCTCGTGGCCGTGATCCTCGTCCGCGAGAGCCGTTGATTAATCGAGCCGGGGCGATGGGCTTCTCGTCAAGGAATTAAACAGAGGCCGGAACCTTCCTTACTTCCTTTCACAAACGATGGGCTATTGAAGATGACGTTAAACGCTTATGCAGTCATGTCCAAAGAATAAACGTCCCTCAATCATGACTTTGTGGCCGTCTTTACGAATCAGAATATTACGTGCGGCAGTGGTACATAGTACTGGTTTGGGTGAACAGGAGTGGAAGCGGTAAAGAGAAAGTAGTGCCAGGCTCGGGCAGGGACTTACGAGTTATGTCTGGTTTTGCCGTCATGTGTTCCTTTTGCCGTTTTCCTGAGTTTTTGTTCGGCATGACTTCTTTCTTGATCTTCTATATATCCTTGAACAAGAGCAGAGGCTCGCATTGGTACAAGATGGCGGGTTCCATCTTTTCCTTGAAGAGTGGGTTTACCATACGTTTTATGATATCAGCTATCTTCTTCCATATCTTCTCAATTTGATTACTTGGGTCATCGTACGCGCCGCTGGTCTATACGGCGGTGACACATCTGCCACTTTCGCTCTGAAATCAACCTTTGGAATTCGGTCGTCTATCGCACCCTTTCCTTTTGCACTCATGTATGGATATGATTCAATTCAGAGCTTTTAGTTTACTTGCTGCGCTTGTAGATCTTGGCAAGGAAGGCCTCGAAAACAGTTTTCTTGAGACCATCATTCTCATCGATGTTAGCAATGCGCTCACGGATTTGGCCGACAACTTTCTCTTCATAGTCCAGATAACGCTGCTCAAGATTGAGGTCATCGTAAAGCTTCTTGACGACCTCCTCCTTCTCATCGTCCTTGCGGCCATAGTTTTCCTCAAGAATCTTTCGCTGCTCAGGGGTTGCTACGGCCAGGGCCTGGTTGACGAGCCAAGAGCACTTGTTATCCTTGATGTCGGTGCCGATCTTGCCTATATGCTCAGGCTTGCCGAAGTTGTCAAGGTAGTCATCTTGGATTTGAAAATACTCCCCGAGAGGAATGAGGATATCCTCAGCTTGCTTGAGGTTGCTGGGAGTGGCGAGGTTGAGCTGGTGAAGGGCGAGGGCGACGGGGAGGTAGAATGAGTAATAGGCGGTCTTATAAATGACAATGAAACTATACTTCTCAAGAGGGAAGTTGTCGAGGTTGACATTGTCTTCAGGAGCGGTGAGTAGGTCGCAAAGCTGGCCGAGCTCTGTCTGAAAGGTGGTCTCATGGAAAAGCTCGATAAGATCGACGTAGGCCGGGTGAGAGCGGAAGTACTTCTTGAGAAGGGTGTAAATGGCGGATTCAAGCATGAAGGCGTCGTTGATAGCTATCATGCCAACACCCTCTTGGCGGTACCAACAGGGCTGGCCACGGCGGGTAATGCTCGAATCCATGATGTCGTCGGAAACGAGAAAGAAGGCCTGGAGAAGCTCCGTCATCCAGCCAAGCGTAGCAGCTTGGAAATACTGCTCTTCGGTAAGAGGCTTCTCGAGGAGGAGGGAGACCGAGTCGGGGACGGACATGCCGCGGTTGCATTTTCCACCGAGAGGGTTGACTTCGAGAGACTACGAAGCTGCGTGTCAGTTCAAATTGGAACTCAATATTTACTAATGAACAGCTTTCATTCTATACTTACTCTTTTGTACCAGTCGAGCTGCTCTTGAGGGAGCTTGTAGGAGCGGGCATGGTCGAGAAGAGCCTCCTCAAGCTTGGGGTAGACGGAGTTGAACTCCTGAAGGGTAGTTTGTTGAGCCATCTTCGCTGAATTGTGTCAAGTGAGCTACGTGTGCGCGCTGGAAAGGAAAAGAAACCTGGAGAGTCCGTCTTTGGGGAGAAGATGAAGAAGGAAAATGAAACTCAGAAGTGGGAATGACAGACTGATCTTCGGAACATGTACGATAATTACCGGACAATTATCTACTTATCTCAATAGACTGGGGTGTCTTTTTTAAGAGGGGATTTGCTCAGTGCCCCTCTTCCTTTACTCGCGAATTGGGGCAGGAGGGCTGTGGGCGCTTTGATTTGCTCGGTGAGGCCAAACAAAGGAGGACCCCGGTTAAGGAACCAGTGAAGTGGAGGGGTACTAAGCCACTATCTACTAGTTAGTACCTTATAGTAGGTACAGGTAAGGCAGGGTTAGCAGCTACCTAAGGAGGTAGGTGGGGGTGCTGGGCGGTGAGAGCAGCTTGATTACTAAGGTAGGTACCTATGTACTGGTTACCTTACCGGGCCACTACCAATCTTGAGGTCGGTGGTTGATGAAGGAAGCAAACACCGAACTCTGCAACTAGCGAGGCCGATGTGTGTTTAATCTTAAAGGATACACATTTATTGAAGTTGTCAGTGGCACCTCAAGGGCTCAAACGTAAAGTCTCGAAACCCCTCAATGGCAAAGGATCCGTTGAAGTTATTGATAGTACCGTATCTGGCAGAAATCCAATAGCTGCGAAAAAGACGACGGACTAGTTAGTACTAAGTTATTGGTTGTCTGAGGTTGGAAATTGTTGTTATTGGAGGGTCGGAGTTTTTGACCAGGTATCCTTCCTAGGTAGGGAGGAAAGAAAACTCGGGACCTCAATCCTAAATGATGAAAAGACTTAGGTAACTTAGCATAAGTTTAGGATATGTTTGCTAACTTTAGGATACATTTTGCTAAGTTTATTTTGACATAAACCCCGTATTAAGGCCTCATGTTTTCTTGCTCCCCGAAGCCTGTACAAACTAAGTCCGTTGTGCCTATATTCGAAGCATTATCTAGGCCCCTGAACTCTTCAACGCCATGCCCTTCCATGGATGCCTAGATCAAGCCTAGCCGTTGGCTTCTTCTTTATATTGGCTGATCCCTTGTGGCACAACATACTTGATCCGATCATACCACTCTGTATCATTCTCTTGAATCACGGCCAATGCGTCCAGCAGCGCTCTCTCTGATGCACCGTCCCTCATCATCACCACGATGCACGCAGCGTTGAGCTCTGCGTTGCGAAACCCTCGGACAAAGGTTTCCACATCGTACATATGCGCGAGTCGAGTATGCGTCGGCGTACTGTCCAGTTCTCTACACTTCTGGATTGGCGGGTATATTATCAATAACGTCTCATCGATGACGGCTGCTGACATGCATCGGGTAGAGGAATCTGCACTTGTACATACCTGGCAGTCCTGGCACCTCTCTCCCACGGACTTGACATAGTTGTTACACCTCCTACTACCCCAACGATGGCTGCAGGGCCAATGCATGTTGCTTCGTGAAGTCTCTTTCTTTTGTGGCTCAGCCGGAATATTTGATATAGAGGTGTTGCTAACGAGTTCACTGATCTCTTGATGTATGCTCAGCCAGAAATTCAGTCCCCTTCTCGAATAAATGCCGTGTGCACTCGCTCTTATACTATGTTTCGCTCGGTGACGAAGCTTGACACGGTAATGATTCGGTTCGCACGTGCTGCAGAGGATTGTGCGAGGTTGTATCGGATACTCATTTTGTGAGACGTCGCTGATATTCACAGCCGTTCGAATGCTGTGATACATGTCCGTTGACTGAGAAAGCAAGCCAATCCACCTGTGCAAGAGAGCCAAGTGCTGGATCTGTGGCTTTTGACGAAGGCGAAGATGTACAGAACCACCGCAAGGGCCCTGCACTCTCTTTGAAGGGCAAAGTGTGAGCAGTAGTAAGCTGTGTACTATTCAACGCTGACTCGATTATCAAGGCACTGCCGGGTCTGGCTGCCGACACATACTCAGAGGAGATGGGTAGCAGAGGCCGGCCACCAGGACTCAATGAGTCCCGGAATAGAGTTGACAGTTCAAAAGTTACTCACTAGAGCCTATGCTGGAAGCATGACGGTGCAGGAGTAATCGTATAGACTGTTCTAGAGCTTTATTACAAACTTAGCGCTCCCAAAAAGTCGAACCGGCATCCTCAACATCTTATACACAGTGTTCACCTCCTCTTGAGTCTTGGATGCCTCCTCAACTTAGCATGCCACACTAAGCTCAGGTACAACAACCTATATGTTTATTTCATCCTTGGATCCCAGTTTTTATCCAACTTTTCTTCCCTCAGTCTCTCAAGCCGTTCCGTCAAATTATTGTGCGTCCAATGCATAGGTCCCCTATCCCGCGCTGCCTCAAGTGCGTCGCAAACCGCGTGGTAGACTTCACTGAAATTACGAAAAATGTAGTCAAGTGCAGCAGTAAGAAGATTATCCACGTTGTACCTTTTCTTTGCCTTCTCGATGTACTTGTTGACCCGTTCGTACGTGATGCCATCCATCTCACGATATTTGTCAAGCAAGTATTGCGCGAACTCGATGTGGAGATCTGATGCCTTCACCTCATTGTCTCCAAACTGCCTACCCATTCTCTTGAGAGTCAATTAGATGGTGAAACTCTGGAAGCGGCACTGTGGGGTGAGTGCCCGTGGATGTATTGCCCTTACCTCGCAGTCAACGCATATGCTTTTCTTGAGGAACACATAGTTGGGGCATTGGACTTCTGGTGTCCAACACAAGATGCAAGGGAATATCCGAACAACTCTGTTGATATTCATTGTACTCCTCCGAGAGACCCTAGAAGATTGGTATCAAGTTTGAGCAATTCTCAGGGAAGGTTGCCAAGGGTCTAAGAGATGTGAAGTAAGATGGTCGTGCAAATGAAGAGTGAGCAATTCTTAACAGAGACTGAAGTATTCATTGCCTTGATAGATTCGATTGATGTAAGTAAGGAGAATCTGATAGTATAAACGGCGATAAAGCTTGGTTTTTATCCTTCAACTTCACCCATGTCTTCTAGCATCTCTCCATCGGTTAAGCTAGCAAACAATTTCACACAGATATGAATAAAACTCTGTATCCATAGATGCCTTGATGAAAAACTCGAGTGGTTTCACCAAGATTTCGGAGTATTGACTGATCTTACTTTCTACTGGCGCTGCTGTCGTACAACATCCAACGTTTATGAGTGTAAGTGGAAAGAAGGGAGGTGGCTGCAATATTGGTTCAATGGTCCATGCCCAAATTCTCGCACATCGTAAGATACGGCCATGCCCTAGACAGTTCAGAATTTAAATTGTGTGTAACAAGTGACGGTTCAAGTTCAACGGCTCGGATTCATACCTGGCGATATTCCTTTGTGTTACCTTTGTTGTACCCATCATGCATAGTGCGAGTATACAGTATCTTTCTGACAAAAGCACTGTCTATGATGCGCGCCCCAAGTTGTTGACATGATGGGCTGTCAAGGCTTCGCGGTCACGCTCATGACACCTCCCAACTTCGCATTGGGACCGCCAACAACGCCCGAATCCTGGCTATAACTCACCAGGTGGCGGCCTTCAAAAATCTTCATTCCAGTGAACATCCACCGGTAAAACACACGAGGCCAGGCGTTCCCAACTTCGTGCCGTAACCGACTCCCGTCTGCCAATAGCTACCCCACCAACCAACAAAACAGCAAAAGATGGCACTCAGTGTCCACGAGATCTCCCAGTTACGTGCTGCCTTGCAAGACGCCGTCGTCAAGTGTTCAGAAAGATGCTTGTATCAGTCATCCAAATGGTAATCAGTTTCACCAAGCTATTATTAACCATGGCGCATGAACTAACATTGTCAGGGCTGCTGAACTGCTCAATGCGCTCCCCGAGATCGAAGAAGACGAAGAGAACATCAACCCTGCAGATCCCGGACACGGCTCTCCGATATTCGCTGCGAACAGCGATCCAGAGGAAGCAATTCTCGAAGCTAAAGAACTTAGCAAATATCTCTTAGCCAAATCTCTCTTCGACTGTCGAGAATATGACCGTTGCGCTGCTGTGTTTCTGCCAGACTCCCTCCTTTCAAGTGTTCTTGCCTCGCGTGTAGACAGCACTTCAGCATCTTCCACCACTATAAAGGGGAAGGGGAAGGCGTCCAGAGCTTCGTCTGTGATGCCACTGCCAAAGCTCAGTCAGAAGAGCCTGTTCTTAGCACTATATGCCAAGTTCATGTCCGGGGAGAAGCGCAGGAATGAAGACTCCGAGATGGTTATGGGCCCTCAAGATCTTGGTACGATTGCCAATAAGCAATTGCTTGTAATAGGTCGATTCTTAGCAACTTGGTTCGAGGAGAGGACAACGGAAGACGATGAAGTACTGGGGAGCCAGGGATGGCTCGAATATTTGTGAGTGCTATTCTTGTTGATTTAGTGCTGATCGACTAATCACAACCTACAGATATGGCATGGTGCTAGCCAAAGAGAAGAACGATGACAAGGCACTGGAATATTTTATCCGAAGCGTGCACAAGTACACCATGAATTGGGGCTGTTGGTTGGAAATGACGTCGTTAATATCTCGAGTTGAAGATGTGAGTCCCCCATGTAATATCCTCGCTTCTTTTCAATCGCTAACACCTTCCAAGTTGAATCGGATATCCAGACATTGTCCTCAGAATATTGTCTCTTACATGTTCCACCTGCACACCTCTCTAGAACTCTACCAACAAGGGCCTGGTCTGGCCAATTCTCTTGAACAACTTCTCTCGATATTCCCGTCATCGTCTTTCCTTCTCACATGCAATGCACTCCTGGCATATCACGCCAAGGACTTGATGGCTGCTGAACAGCACTTTACTCGACTGCTGGCACTCCATCCACATCGGCTAGATTCTCTCGATCATTATTCTAACATTCTCTACGTTCTCAATCTTCGCCCAAAATTGGCTTTCCTGGCACACCTATGTTCCAGCGTGGACAAATTCAGGCCCGAGTCTTGTGTGGTGATTGGAAATTATTATTCTTTACTATCGATGCATGAGAAGGCTGTCCAATATTTCCGTCGTGCATTAACGCTAGACCGGTCATGCTTGTCAGCATGGACGCTAATGGGTCACGAATATGTTGAACTTAAAAACACCCATGCGGCAATAGAGTCGTACCGCCGTGCAGTTGACGTGAACCGCCGGGACTATCGGGCCTGGTATGGCCTTGGTCAAACATACGAGATGTTGGAGATGCATACATACTCATTATGGTACTATAAGAAGGCTGCTGGTCTACGACCATGGGATGGAAAGATGTGGATGGCTGTAGGCTCATGTCTACAGAAAATGGGCCGAGAACGGGATGGTATCAAAGCCTTAAAGCGAGCTTTACTAGCTGATGCTTACTATGACGTGGGCAGCAGTTTTGGTAGCGGTGATCTCCTTGGCAGCCGGAGCGCCACGGGTCATATGGACCCCGACATCCTTCTGCAGATTGCGGTTATGTACGACCAGCTTGGTGAAGAGGAAGAAGCCAGGTCATACATGGAATTATGCGTGGCCCAGGAAGATGGTGGAGCTGCAGAAGCTGATCCGGCTGAGTCCATTGCTATTCACAACGACTCTCCACCCGGCTCAGATAATGGTGCCGAGGGCAACGAGAACCCAGGGAACGAGGGAACCGGAGTCACGGCGGCGACAAGCAAAGCGCGCATGTGGCTGGCAAAGTTCTCAATGCGCACTGGAGATTACATAACGGCCTCTCGACTTGCGGGAGAGTTGTGTCAGGACGGTGTTGAAGTGGAGGAAGCAAAAGCACTTGTGAGAGAAGTTCGGTCTCGGATGGAAGCGACGGGAATGCTCGACCCGCTGAGTTAGCAATATCAGCAAGGACAAGTACATACCTAATCGTGTATTCAGAAGTGTGCAGCTAAGGATGTTTTTGGTTGATGAGAATCTGCATCACGTTGCTCGATGAATGTTCAAATAAAGATGGCTAGTAAATAATGTTATGCAGAGAATACATTCACCACGAGTAGCCACTCGAGAATACGCTCGCAGTTGCATGATCTACTATGTACCTATTTAAAACTTCCCCAGATCTACCAACGATTGCATCATCGATCATTCTCCCGAAAGCTGCACTTGTAAATGGTACTCCCGTGATGAGAGTTGAGGTCGGCCCGATGATCGAAGTCTATCCATGCACTATTCACACTGAAGTATATTTACACAGATCGGTAGTCAATACCCAAGAAATGCACGTTTCAGTACCCGAACTCATGGAACGATAATCGCGGGAATCGTGCTAAACCAAGCCCAAAGCTCGGGAACCCCTTGCTATAGCGGGGTCTTCCTTTTGTCTATGACTGATTAATAGATCGTGACAATTATGGAAGCAAGTCAAGAGCTCACATCACTCTAGCTAGTCATCATACAAATACCTCAGTGCAAGATAGCATCCTAAAGTCTCAGCATTGTCTTACTATTGCAATCTATCCAGATGCCATGTGCTTTCGTGAGTAGTCTCTGGAGAGATGTAAGAAGCAACTTGACTCTTCTATCTAGGTTAGAAGCAGCTATGGCTTATATAGCTAAGCTAGACTTCCTGAAGGTTCATTAGGTTTACCTGGTTGGCAATCTACATCTAGCAAAACATACAAACATAACTAACAAACATAGCAAATAGCAAGGGAGAGAAGCAACAAGTCTATCCAACAATCTCCCACATCATTGGTGTCAATAATACAGTTTGGTCTAACATTGCTTTCACAGGAGTGATCACATGGCCAAAGCTGCAACACCAGCCAATACGAAAGCCCCAAAGCTTCCAGACACCTTGTTCGCAGCGGCTGAAGGCACAGAAGCCTCGATAGTACCAGTAGGGTTGACTGGGGGTGGGGCAGCTCGAGATGGAGGAACAGCCGGTTGTCCGGGGATAGAGAGGGGAGGAGGAGGCGACTCTGGGACAGGAACCGAAATGTCAGGGGGTGGAGGAGGTGGCAGGGTACCAGCAGCTGGAACTGTAGCTTTTGTTGGAGAGGGCTCAGATGGAGGGGGAGGGGGAGGAGGGGGAGCTTCTGGGATAGGAACAGTAGACTTGGGGATCGCTGGTGGGAGAGAAGGCTCAGAGTACGGGACTGTAGCTTTGGTAGGAGGTGAAGCCGGTTTGCCAGGAGGCAGTGGTGGTGCAGGAGCAGATGAGGACATCACCGGGGGCTTGGGGGGCATTGGCTGGCTAGGGGGGGCCGTGGGATAGACGACTGTCCCAGGGGGCTTTGTGTTCTGCGTGTAAGTGACAGTACACGGGCAGTCTGTCCTTTATGTCAACTGAAATCCAGAAACAAGTAGATAGTCATCATTACTCACTTGTGATGGTCAAATAAGTTGGCTCTGTGGCCGTGTAAGTGAGGTTTTTATGGCGAAACGTGGTAGGTTCCTGTTATAGTCTTAGTCAAGCTGAACTCAATTCGCATTGTAGTTCAGACTCACAGGACAATAGAATGAGTGGTCAGAAGTGATAGTGGTCACGAGGGTCTCGGCCGTGCTGTGCTCCGTTTCGTTTTTAAAGGGTGGTTTTGGGACAGGCGATATCATCGGAACAGAGCCAGCAGCAACACTCCTCATGAGCACGACAGCTGAGAAAGCCTTGTAGATCTTCATCATTGATGTTAAGTTTATGTGTGAGTATGGAGGCCAAGGACGGTTTTAGGGAAGATATGAGGATGTCAAGAGAATGTAAAACCACTCGATTGTTCAAGACAACCATGCAACTTTTATATTTCGCAAACTGACATGTGAGGGCATATGGAAACCACCGAATAACCTTCCAAATCAAGAGGCTAGGGGATTTCCGAATATACGTGAAGGACGGCAGACCCCGATGTGAGTGTAGGGCCGAAGATGGCTCTATATGGATGCAGAGGGGGCAGAGGGTGGGACAACGATGTGAAAGACTCTCACCAAATCGACATTGTCCGTCACAGAGCTTGCTTGGCTTTTGTAGACACAAGATGAAGAATCATTTAACCAAATTATCAATATAATCACGCTCAGGTAAACTCAAATGAAGTTCAATCCTGCACCAGATTTTATACAGATGTTTTGTGGGCGAGCAAAGTCTCATTGAGACGGTGACGAAGTAGACGCGATTTGAAGTTATGATATCATTTCTCGTTATTGGACGATGTCAGTACCTTCGGCATCGGTGTGCGCCTCTTTCAGCTGCATAAAATTTCAATGAGCGGCGAGTCCGTTCATTCACACATCATTCTGGGTTTCGGGTGTTTGTTTCAGTGCTTTGGATTGCATATACGCAATAATTTCAATGTTACAAGCTAAGAAATTGAAAGTTGGTAATTGGCATAGTAAAATAACTACCACTGCCACTGAAGGTGTTATACGCAACAATTAAGAACTGCCCAATACACGCATATCTTCGATTCTATATAGTTAAGTACCTAATGTTGTGTGATGAAACTTATCTTAGGCCCCTATTGTTCGAAGGAAAGGTAAGAGCAATAGGGTAAAACAGCTAAGGGTGAGATACCTAGGTAGGTAGTCAAGGAAACGGGCCCTTCGTGCTGACATCGACATTAGTAGATCTCTATCAAAGATCACTAAACTTTTGTTTTCCCGAGTTCAGATCCCCAGGTAATTGTTTGGTGAAGCTTGATGGCGTCGTGTGTTCAAGAGTCTGTGATTACAAGACTCGGGCACAACTGGGACATAACCACAGGAATCGAGATGAACTATCCAAACATGCGAGAATAGCCTAGAAGTATAAAGCTATGGACAAAAGAAAAGAAAAAAAAAAAAACATCACCACATAGATAAATCTATCAATGCCTATCAACAACTTTCAGTAGAACGGAGTTCGTTAGTCAAGGTCACGTGTCGGTGCACGAAGGAACGCAAGTCGTCACAAGATTCAATTCACCCCACCTCCAGTACTTCATCGTCATATTCACGACCTCACAGTGAACTTTTCGCAAACTTCTTTCTTACTCTTGACAAATACGTATATCAAGGGAAGCTTCCATTCTACACTTCAATGAACGCCGAGTATGAATCTCGGAAGACACATGCCATAACTTCTTCACTTTATATCCAGCACCCCCCTCCTACCTGGAATCAAAAGTGTTGACAAGTCAAGCTAAGCGTCTAATATGGCCCATAACTCTGCTCGATTTCAAACGAAATTTGGACTAGCTTAAGGGTGTCAGAACAGAAAGATGACAGATTCTTCTGCTGTTTAAACTCCCAACATACTATGCTCCCACCATCCACCGCTGGTTGTTATAGCCTAACATAAGGTGACAAGACCGCGCAACAAACTTTCCTGGCACGTTGAAACTGACCAGCAAAGCACATGGCTATGTGCGGTCTCCTCTCCAGCCAATTTCGGACGTGAAGGAAAAGCACAGACTTGATATCTTCAACTGATCCAGCAGAAGTCAAGTCGCAGAGGTCGACTCCTTGACCCTGAGCTGCCAAAACCATGAGCTCAACCAGAGAGTCTTCAAACCTCCACGACCATCATTGGGCGCTATTGAGATAAGCTCAAACATCATCACAAACCACAAACCCTTCTCAGTCACCCAGGACTCGGAACGTTCCAGTGTTTCCAAACTTTCTCAACAACGACCGCATCTCAGATGAGGCATTTCTTACACACTCAGACACTGCACTACTTTCTTGGCCATGAACCTTGTTCTAGACCTCAAAACCAACACGATAAGAGGGAGACTTGCCGGCCGATGTGTGAGGACAGACTTGAGCTCGGAGTGGAGATTTGCTCTTCGGTAACGGATCAGATCAAGTACCTTCGGCCTCGCTTCAGAGATCACCGGGTTGCCGGCCGGTCTCCGAAATTGTGGACCTTTCCACTTACTGCTTGATGTTTTCCCAGCATCTGAACTTCGCACATTAGTTGAAGTAAAGTAGCGCACGCAGGTTCGTGCATCTGACCAACCGAATTTTTAAGTGTGGAAGTTATTGACAGAGTTGAAGTTGTGATCCGCTTTTTGAGGACGATTCACCGCTCACTGGTAGAACGCCTGCGTTTCTACGTACAATCCGCCACATGGGACTAAGAAGTTATGTGTGTGCGCATGAGAGAGGACTTCTGACAACTATTGTTAAAGGAAAGATCAAGTGGTAGTGACATGAGGCCTAGCCTCTTCTGCATGCAGCAAGAATTGGTCTGGCAGCTACGATGACTCGCAACGACGAACTTTCCGCCGACATCGCTGGCTAGACACTAGATTTGGTTCGAATTTGGCGAGAAGAGGACATGTCATCGACGACGTAGCATGAGGCAAGATACACTCGATCGTGTCTGATCGAGAACCAAAAGCTCGTTCAGCCCCAGACTTGGCTTTTGCAAAATCCTTCACATGCATAGTCAGAGCTGGCTAAGGGCATTGGGATCGACAATCAACAAAGATTGGTGATGTGAACGTCAGACCTCAGAATGGAACTCCACGGGCCTATAACAGCCAGTCTTAACACACTTGCACACCGTGGCACACTCGCTTCTTGGCTGCAGAACGTGCAGAACGGAACCTTCTCGGGCTAGGCCAACGATTTGAGAGGGAAGCCAAAAACCGCGCGGCGCAAAACCTTTCATGACAGTTTCGTACTGTGGGCAACGGCCTAGACCACCAAGACGGAAGAAAGTCCGCGACGTTTTGAACGCACCAAGAAGCGATTTTTTCGTTTGTTCCCACTCCGTTTAGACAAATCCATTAAGTTCCATACTTGTCTAGTGTAGGGGCCTCAGGCACAAAACCGTGACCCATAATCCTATTTTGCACGTCTCCTCGGCCAACGCAACCTAGCATCATGGCGCAGTTATCAACAAAGCATTCTCGCGA